AGAATAGTTCTCTATATAGGCTTATTGCCAACAAGTTTTTCTWCATCTATTACATTTGTATCCCTGAAGGAGTTCAAGACACAATATATGTAATGCAATATAATACTAATAATAACATGATATTATAATTATATATTTATCTTACATGTAATATTACTAATAATATTACAATATAATTGGTATAGTACAATATAGCAATATTTAAAACTGATATTGTACTATGCTAATAATATAATATATTGTATGTATATATACCTTGTAAACCGCTCTGAGTCCCCTTCGGGGTGAGATGTCCCTATATAAATGTCGTAAATAAATAAATAAATAAATGTCCCTATTCCCAGTTTTATCTATACAGCAACATAGAGATGGGTTAAGTTGATATATGGTATCAACAAGGTCACCTGAACAAAGTTGATAGTCATGTGGGGATTTGAGCCTGGTCTCTCCTGTCTTGGGTCAATACTCCAACCTCTATTCTAGGCTCCCTATCAGTAATTTCCAGTTATGCACATTAAAGGCCATGTTGAGAAGTAGATTGTGTTGAATCTTTTTGTGGTGCTATTTAACCCATTACATTTGACATGCTATCATTTTATTCCTACCTAACATGTGCATAAAGAAGTTGCTCAACAATGTTGCCTTCAGGTCAGCTCCAAGTGCCCTTAAACATCAGAAAGGAATTGTGTCACCCTCCAGATCTTGATGGACTGTATTCCCATCAGTTCTGGCCAGCATAGCCTAGTCTGAAAGCTGGAAGGTGTAGGCCAACAACACAATGAAGGCCACACCATTCCCATACTCATCCCAAGCAACCAAGCAACTAGCCAAAGATGTAGGTACTTCTAAGACAGATGGGAATCATGTAAGCAGTCCCCTGGGTCTTCTGTGCCCTCTCTAATAAGTTCCCCTTTAAAAAATGGTAAAATACTAGGGAATCATATTTCTAGAAATCCACTATAGAATGTGGTTCTCCTTGTCCTTTAAACTCAAATTGATATTCTAGGAAAATGTAAGTCACTTCCAATTTGGCAGAGAACAAATGGTCTGGAGAGAATTGAACAGGTGTGAGGCCGATATCATCCCCAAATGCCAACCCCTACTGTATGACATGATCAGATATGATCTAGTCTATTTTAGAATGCTCCCTACACACATACGTTCCAAAACATCCTTAGTAACCCTTCCCTAGATGACTTTCAAGCTATTGTTACCAAGGATGGCAGTGAGAAACATGATCCCCTCAGAACCTTGGCGAATTGCCAGAGACCAAATGAAGGGTGGATATGGAAGCACACCTGCGTATGCTAACCATTTTATTCTGTCATGAAGACGCAGTCAGCCATCCATCTTCACAGATTCTGCATCTATAGATTCAACTATCCATGGTTTGGAAATACTAAAAAAATCAAAGTGATTAGAGAACTGGGAAGCAGAAAGAAGTGTAGAAACACAGAGTCATAGAATAGGTGTGACATCTAGATAAACGGCATTAGAGTCAAAAGACAACTGGCATACAAATACAAACCTTCCTAGCCCTGTTTCTCCATTGTTCACATTGATGTAGAGATTTGTGGGGGAGGAGGAAAAGGCAACCAAACCACATGCTGCTCAAGCAGTTTTGGTTCTATATAAATGCCTCAGGTCAATAAAGAGAAGTGGTAAACAGCATTTCCTGAAACAGGCCTCAAAATACTCTCAAAGCAAAAACAGAAAGGAGATAAACACAGATCTCAGATCATATTATGTATAATGTTTGTTTTCTTTTATAAGTAGAAGAAGACAAAAATGGGTGTAAGGGGCACAGACCATAAAGGAAAGCAACAAATGTTATTCCTCTTTATGAAACCTTGACTCACATATGCTTTGAAACACAAAAATGGTTAAAGAACTTTCCATAATTTGGAGAGGCAGTTCACATAATGTTTTATACCTATATGATACTACTGACTTTATTGCACGAGGCTGTCAAACTGGCATTGAAGTTGAACTGTTGCATTTAGTGATAGTCCCTATAGAATGACACCACATGCATCCTGATGCCGGTCTGTTATCTTCCCACTATTAACCTGTCTCCCACTATGGACAGGCAAAACCCATAAATTGTTCCTACTCCTACAATGCTACTATCACCTGCCTTAGTGAAATGGATTCATTCTGCTACTATGCCCCCATGTTGACATTAAAGTGGTGTCAGAGGTAGGATTCTTCTTCTATAGTAATGTACTATAGTAGTATTTGCCTTTTTTTATTCATTGCTAAAATTTAAGAAATTGCTAAGAATTTTTAAAAATTACAGAGCAGCTGAAGTATAGGAAAGTGCGGTTACAATCCTATGTGGAAGCACTATCGCAGGACTTGGCTTTTCGAATCAGTGCAATTCCATGAATGAAGTGAGTGATGACATCAAAGGTGCCCGTGTGGACATGTATCCGCTATCTATCATACTGTGACTTCGTGTGATAAAGTCTTGAGAAGCAATCTATGAGCCAAAATCCAGCTGCTGAAAGTGTAGTAGCCTGTTTACAGATGCAAATACCAACAAACGCTCTGGCAGAACTAATGTGTTGATTGCACCTGTATCTTCAGTGGACTCTTTTCTCATCTCTCTCACCCACAAAATGTCCCTACAAGTATTTAGAAATATCCTAAACAAGAGGCAGGGAAATGGTTCCTCACATGTTTATGATAACTCCTGAAAGCTCCAATCAGCATAATCTGTGGGAAGGGATTATCCCAGAATCTAAAATTTCCCCATTCTTCTTAGCTATTTCAATTATATTAGTCCAAACTCTCATATTTCTGTTGTCTAACAGGAAAATTGTTGTAATGGACCAACATTCCATGATAAAACACAAACATGCACACATTTGTTTCAGCATGGCAAAACTGACCTGGAAATTATCCTACTTTCAAGAACATCTAATTAACTTGTTACAGTTTAGGCCACTCCAAAACATGATCTCTTCAATGTGATATAATGCAATAAGTAGAACAGTGTCCTTATTTCCTTCCATGATTGTCTGGCTATGCAAGGAACTCTCAATGGTATGTGTTGTGGAGGGAGGAGGGGCAGATTCCCAACCACTACATTCAAATTACATTCGGCATCCCTAATGATGACCTAGTTTCCCCAGAGTTGGATTGAAAGTAGAAGGCTAGGAAATATACTGCAATAATAATTTGATTACACAGTACCAAAAAATAATAACAACAGGCAAATGTTCAAATGTCAGGGTGCAACAACCTTACCAGCAATAGAGATGGGTGTAACCTGGCTTTCTAAAGCTTAGGAAAACAACTTTTTTGGACTATAGTTCCTCAAATTGCCCAGTAATGTGTCCATGCTGATGGGGGATTTTTGTTTCAAAATGGTGGCTTTTCTAAGATCTGGGTCCAACCATATGAATTCTATCTTTACCAAATTTCCATACAATTTTTGTGTTTGTATCAGAAGCAACTTGAGAAACTGCAAGCTGCTTTTGATAGGATAGGATCTGATAGGGTAGCCCATCTTTGTGAGGGCTTAAGCCATTCTCATCCATTGATGGAGCACTCATCACCTCAGTCATGTCAGCTGATCTCAAATAATCAGGGCAGTGAATGGGGAAGAAAACAAACATGAAGTCCGAACAAAAGAGCGAGCCGACCGGCGTCCTTGTGTATCTGAGCACGGAGGAGGAGAAAGGAGGCAAGTTGGTTGAGAGAATTGGCCATCTGCAAGGATATTGCCCAGGAGACGCACAGATCTTTTACCATCCTGTGGGAGGCTTTCTTCATGTCTGGAGCTGACAGATGGGAGCTCACCCCACTCCCTGGATTTGAACTGTCGACCTTTCAGTCAGCAGTCCTGCTAGCACAAGGGTTTAACCCATTGCATCACCGAGGGCTCCATACAGTGACAGCTGCTAATTTTTTCTTGGCAATGCTATCTATATAGGAATATGGATGACTGAGCAAACACAGAGATATCATGTACAGATCAGGCTCTGGCACCACACAATGCTAAATTGTCATTATCATAAACCAGAGAGATTGTGAAACACTGATACATTGTTCTCTTAACATGCAGCATCTGGTGAACCCCATTCAGACGATTTTCCACACTCATATCACTCACAACATTAAAGGTTAGTACAATCGTATTTACTCAGTAGATGAAACAATGGAAAATCAACTTATTGATCTGGGAAAAGGCAATAATCTGGACAGGGTCCTGGTTTAGTAATGATGCAAGGAATTATGATTTACACGCCAAGGTCAAACTGGTTTTTGGCAACAGAATAACTGTATCCCTGACCTTTTCTAAACTATAAACTGAGCACATTTCCAGTACTGCTATACCTTTTAATCTAAGATACCGTACCATCCATAGCATAACAAAACCAATGTAATATAGGGCCACAGTGAGATAGAAGGAACAACTTTTCCAAACATTGTGTTTTTCTTTAAGGAAAAGAAATTCACTCTAGAACTGCAAAGGGAAATATTCTGCTTTTCTCCAAATAGGATTTACTATTTTGATGAAAGAGCTACACCTTAAAGGAGAGCGTATTTATAAGTTCAAATGAGTATCAAGGTATATTTAGTTTTGCACAGGAAATATAACAGATCTAGAAAACATTCAGGTTTAGACACTTTTTAACCAGTATGGAGACACACATATAATATCTGTAAGCAAAAAAAAAAAAAAAGGACTAGTTCTGTTTATTCTTAATTAGGTTGACTGCATTACAGCATTACACTTATGTTAAATGTAATCATTATAACATAATAATTTGGCCACATGTCTTCTTGTTGCCCTTCTCCCTCCTTCTTCTCCATTTTTTGTGTATCCTAGACATGAGGGCAAGAACCATCTTGTGTTTGATGTAGAAGTTGCTCTGAGATCCTTTACAGCTACAAAGTGATGTATGAATGCTATACATCAAGTATACTCAATATAGTTATTAGCTGCTTGATGATTTCAACCTACTCTCTTCCTTGCTCTCCAGACTTACCGATGTACAAAAGATGCAGCTGCAGTCTTGCAGAGAAGTCATTTTATCCAGCGAATATTCAGATAAGCACAATTTGCAAGTAACCAAAGGCTCCAAGGATAATTCCCCAACCTCTGATATTCCAGTCATCATGGTGCAGTGGCAAATCTTTCCAGGAGAGGCCATCACCTTTACCAAGTCTACAAGAGATACAGATAAGAATAAGCTGCAACAAAGAATTCTGCAGGACAATATTCAATATGTTAGCCAGGTTAAAAACTTCCAGTGCATCTGCTGCTTCATTTAAAGGCCATTTCAGATTGCATTTGGTTGATAGCACCAAATATCAGCTCACACCATTCTCATTATCTCTCCAGCTGTTCCCTTCTCTCAGAGGGCAATAAGGTGTGTGCAAGACAACTTATCCTAGGCCTCCTACTGTACAGGTAGTCCCCAAGTTACAAACAAGATAGGTTCTGTAAATTTGTTGCTAAGTTGAATTTGTATGTAAGTCAGAGCAGGTACATTTTTAAGTGTAATTCCATACATACACACACACCTTTGGATAGCATAGGGAAGGGTTAACAGGCCTCTGGGGTTTGTTTTGCTGTCCGTGCCCCTAATCAGAAGATTTCACCTCACTTTCTGTCCCTGTGATAATTGGATTTTGAAAAAAATTGACTTGTTATGGAAACAAGGATCAGTGATAAACCTTCAATTGTGACACCCTTTCTCCATGATAACTCTTTCAGGAGTTAATATCCCTTCCTAGAGATAGATTTCTCTCACTTCCTGTTGTCTCAGTCCCGCTCTTAACTATGAGTTGTTTGTAAATCAGATGTTTCTAACTCTGGGACTGCCTGTACATGCTATAATAAGACTCAACTGTCAATACAAACATGGTTTTGGTTTATTGTGGCTTGAAGAGACACATTTTCTGTTCGCAGTCCCCACATGGAAGCATGAAGTCTTCTTGTTGCTTTTTAGTCATCTCCACCACCACCTTTTGAAGACTCCCTACTCATGTCTCACAATCTGGGACATATAGATGATTGGGAATGATGGGTGATCCTTTCTTTCTCCCGCCCCATTAAGTTACCTGTGCTGTACAGAAAACAGCAAAAGTCCATCAAGTGTTGAACCTGCACACTGGTCACCAATGGGGAAAGGGGGTTAGTCACCTCTGGTAAGTTGGAAACCTGCCCTAGAGTAAGCTGGAGGAGGTATGCATATTTCACTCATGTAGGCTAGAAAATGTTGACAACATACATCTAATGATTAAAATATTATTCTAAAGAAGGATAAATCATAGGAAAACAAATTTAGATTAAGTTTCAGGAAGAATTTTCATATTATATTGATTTTTATCACTGTTTACCACTTTGAGTCCCTTTAAAAGAAAAAAAATAGTATATACGATGATGATGATGATGATGATGATGATGATGATGATGATGATGATGATGATGACTGAACAGTTAGGTCAGAGTAGAAATACAGAGAAGCCATACAAAGGTGGCAGAGTTTGCTGTCTCAAAACAAGATGCAGCATGAGATATAATTCAACACTGGCACAGACACATTTGTTGCCAAGATCTTGGTTCATCGTTTTGATCACAATAGGCTACAGGATATTGCTTATGAGAAGTAGTAGGTACCCACCATGATATCAGACATGCCATTTCCATAATGAAGGGGTGGAAACCTGTAGCCTTCCAGCTGTATCAGGGTTCATGTCATGCACTGGTTCTGATATTAGTCCAAGAACAGCACATTTCCACCTTCTCAATGGTAAATATTATTTTAATTCATTTGAGAAGGGCTTGTACACAACTGAGCTGATCAGTGGGTTCCGAAAAACCAACCCCACTCTTAAGATGAAAGAACTAAAGTAGGGAGTTTAATCTGCACACCTCTGAAACTCAAATATTTGATATTTTGCAAACAGTGGAAGTGCCCCTGTGCTCCTGGTGAAGGAGAGGCTTCGTTAATTTAAGAAGTGAAATTGCACTTCATGCCCTCCCTCATTCTGGCCCCAACATTCACACATAGGATTCTTTCATGTGTCAATATACACAACTCCCATGTTATGTCAGCTCCACTGGCTGCCTGTTTGCTACTGAGCACAATTCAAAGTGCTGGCTTTGGCCTATAAAGCCCTAAACAGCCCCGGCCCAATTTACCTGTCCAAACGCATCTCCCTTATGAACCACAATAGAAATTAAGATCCTCAGGGAGGTCCTGCTCTTCCTCCCGCCACTACCACAAGCCTGATTGGTGGGGATGAGAGAGAAGGCCTTCTCAGTGATTGCCCCCCCCCCCCCCCGGCTATGGAACTCCCTTCCTGGTGAGATTAGATCAACCCCCTCCCTCCTGTCTTTTGGGAGGATGATAAAAACTTGGCTGCGGGACTGAACTTTTGGGATAGTACAATAAGGCAACAATAGGAAACCTCACCATGCCAACCAGATTCAATGCAGATGATTGAGACAGTTTAAACAGTAGATTTTTAATGTTGAGATAAATAATTTTAATGATTTTAGTTATTTTAATGTATATAGTCTATTTATGTCCTGGCACTGAATGTTTTCCATTTATATGTTGTGCTCTGCCCTGAGTCCCCTTCGGGGTGAGAAGAGTGGAATATAAATGTCTATAAATAAACAAATAAATAGGTTTGGGTGTCTGGAATTTTGTCCCTATAATCATGTGGAGTCTCCAATAAATAATAGAAGAAGGGATGATCTTTTGACAATTTTCCTGCTTCTTGGCAGTGGGTTGGACTGGATGGCCCATGAGGTCTCTTCCAACTCTATGATTCTATGACAATATTGCTTCTACTGATCTATTTTTGGGACACTGTACATTTCTTGGAGTCCATTTCAATTTCTTCATAATTTGCTAACTTAATAGGCAATGCTATGTCTTGAAATGTATGGCTAGGAAAGGGAAAGAAAAGGAAAGTTAAGAGCTTCTTCTAATGGTAAATGAAAAGAGAGTGAGTCATGAAAGTCTGCGTCTATAAAAATAATCATCTGCCTCTGAATTCATACAAAATAACCCCTACACTCCTTTTAGCAAGAAATCATTCCTGATGGATAAGACTGGAATTGAAGCTATTACCAGAAGACTGAAGAGCAATGGCTTTCAGCCAAGGCAGGTCCCATAAGCCATCATTACATAATTGCGGCAACAATGGATCAATGATTCATCAACAATACAATGACTCATCAAGAGCTATCTTTACATGTTGTATCTGTAGTCTCCTTTGAATCCAATAGCACAAGAGCATAGGCATATGTATTCTTTATGCAGCATTTCTACAAACTCTTGCTATCACTATCACTGAAAACAACAGTGCTTTTAATTCCTCCACATAGCTCCTCATTTCATCCCAACATAAGAGATATTTCATATTTTTAGATTAACACAATTCCTTCCAACTGTTAATGGGGTTGGCAAATTGTAAGCTAGAGAGTTTATGGTGATCTCATGAATTTCATTGGATTTCATTAGGCAAGGACTACTCGGAGATTGTTTTGGAAGTTCCTTCCTCTGAAATACAGCCTACAGCACTTGGCAGTCATTCCTCCTTTACACAACCATTAAAAGTACAGGAGACATTTTCTGTTTTCATTCAGGCATCCCTATTTTCAGAGTACAGTTCCCATTGTGTATCAAACAAACATAGTTCTGTTTTTGTAAAGTGAAAATGAAATACTTAGGACACATATATTCTGTGAATGAGCTAGAGTTCTAAAAGCCTCATGTGGATAGCAGGATTAAGTGGCAACACGGCAGAAATATGCTACCACCATATACTGAAAGGCACTGAACCCATTAGTTACTCCACATAGTTCTACATTTCATCCCAACAGCAAACATCATTCATATTTTTAGATTAACACAATTCCTTCTAAACACCAGCAGATACAAAGTGCCTACTATATAGCTGTGTTGGTGCTGCCTACTGAAACAGGAGAAGGCCTCTCTCTCTATACTTGACTGGCCAATCATACATTTTTTCTTTCTTAAATTTAAATAGGAACTTTCAGATTGGTTAGTAGTTAAAGACTTCTAAAAATATCAAAATAATAAAAAAGAGAAGTTTATGAATGGTGCAACGAAGATCCATTGAGAAACTGCCCTCCCAAAGTCAACAACATTACAACACAATGCACTCTGTACTATCAAGGGTTTTCAGTTAGATGTGAATGAAGAAAAAGCATGGAGAAGCCATGCTGAAAACATAAAAGAACAAGGAATTCGTAATGACAGCTCTATTTAAAATGTGCTTGTAACTCATTAGGAAATCCACTCCCTCACTTCTGAGGTTTGGACCTGTCAGACTGGGAAAAGGAGGGAGGGGAAAAGCAAAAGCATTTAAAACCAGATGTCAGGTTGACCTTTTTGTGTTACCTATATCATAACATGCATCCACAATAGTTTAGTTCCTCTGCAAAAGACATAAATACAGAATTGACACTGGTTCCTCAGAACCAGAGTTAGGAAAAGTTAATTTTTAAAACACGGTTCTTTCTATTTCCCTGCCAGCATGTCCACAGAGCCAGAAGATGTTGATATATACTATATTTTTGAACTTTTGAGGTTGAGCATACATATACATATACATATACATATATATATATTTGGAACTGCGGCGGGGAGACCCATGGAGAGCAGGAGCCTGGTGTCCAGCTGATCGGGTATGCATACGATTGGAGGAGAGTAGGAACCGAGCAGCAGCTACCAAGCCCCCTGGATACATTCTATCTTCCCCCTCTATTACAAACTACCCCTTCAATAAACATACACTTTGGTGTGTTACCCTTATATTAGATTCTTTGTATCCTTTTTGCTTCCTGTGTCTTTTTCTTTCCCCTTCTGCCTCTTGCAGCTGGCCCTGGTAACTGCTTTGCCCCATAGCCCCCCAACCCTCAGAGAAGGGCTCCTTTCCTTCTTTTCCCCCAGAACCTAGCCAAAGCTGTCTCCAGCTGGTTGTGCATGGGGAAAACAAAAGACATTAAATGTCTGTTTTACTTGTACAAAACATGTCGGCTTCCTTTTGCAGCTTACCGCAAGCTGTCATCCTTTCCAGTTGGATTGAATAAAATACCTCAGTGGCTTCTTCTTCAACCAGTGAGACTTCTTGATTGGGGAACATTGGGTTATAGTTTCTTCATCTTGCCAAGCACGGATC